TTAATAAATTTGCATTTATAGTCTTTATTACACCCTACAGCACTTGTGGTAGTAGATTGTATTAAGATCGGTGGGCTGTTGGCAACGCCTGGAACCAAAGCCTTTGATATGATTTAAGCATCTGTCCGTCTGTCCTTCCGTCTGTTTTGTTCTCTTGTGATCAATTCGTAGGCAATAATAATTTTTCAGACCCTAGATCGCGAAGCGGGCACAAGAAGCTGTGTCAGCACTTGAAAAAAGGTCTAATTATAGTTTACGCAACTTGTGGAGTAGAGTAGTTTAGTTTGTGCGGATGGTTTTAACACCTGGAAGGCCTTGACGTACATCATCCTTTTATTATACTGGTCGACTCAAAATCATTTTCTGAGTCAATCCAAGTATGTCTGTCGGTTTGCCTGTCTGTACGTCTGATATCTGTCCATGCACTCCCGTGTTCGAACTACAGGCCGCAACCTTCGAGATGGTTTGATGAAATGTAGTACGCTGACGAGTTTTGGTTCAAAGACGACCGCTATTGAAAACGGTTCGAATCGGATTACGTTTTGGACCCCTTCCCATATAAAGCCTTTCTTTTAATTGTGAGACAGAATGGGCTGTGCCCCGTATCTACCAGTTTTTCTTCTTTAAATATAATCAACCACTCAGGGAGTGTCAGCTATACCTGCAGTAGGGTGATGATTAGAAAGTAGTGGGGAAAACGAGAAAGAGATAGCGAGTAGTTACGATCTAGTACGGTCTACCACGACGCGATTTGAACCGGTAGTCGCGATCCTTATCTACTCGGTTATGCTGCAGTTCATGGTACGTTCTTAGTAACTTAGCTTGTAATTAATACATACACACTTATAGTTTCGACGGCGTTGTAATTGCAGAATATCAGACTATCTCTTACTTAAGAGTCTCTTTAATGTATGTATCAAATAAAATTGTTTGGCGACAAGCTAGAAAAATAAGTGTAACTATAATGGATTAAAAATACAAAAATTTCATAATAAAAGTCGAATTTTTTTAAAATCATTTTTGCGCCTGAAACCTTAGGGTGGCGCTTAGAAAAAATCGAATTTCTTACATATCACAACCTTAAGCGGCTTTGATATTTCCATACAAAAGTAAATGTACAATAAATATTTCATCCCACCTTTTCATTCATGGATCCCAGGGCTTATTTAAAAAGAAAGACCCTTTTTCAGCTCATCTAAATTGGTATTCTTCTAACCTAACTAAATCTCGAGATTGTAATCGTACATACGGCAGGCGTACGTTAATTCATTTCCGCTTTGAGCTCTTTTTCTTCCAACCTTAGAACATTACAATATAAGCTTTAGGTTTCACGAGTGTCAAGACCTCAATCAAAATGTTAAAAACGATGAGATTAACGACTTACAGCAAAATAAATAAAAATTGATAGATAAAGCGTACGTTTAATTTGTGCATTCACGCTTCATCTGATAAAAGCGAAAGCGAAAGGATCACATTTGCTTCTGCAGTTCATTGATATATTTTTTGTTTTGCAATGTGAGTCAGATAAAAATTTTTCTTTTCCTAATGCGCAATTATATCGTACGTTGCACTCTCTCTCTCTCCAGATATAGAATAACACATGCGATATTTGCTTGCTATATTTTGAATAAGAATAGAAAAAAAAAGAAGGCGAGCTACAAAGCATTTCAAGTGCAGACCATCCAAGTTAGAATAGAGATTGTCTACCGTCTTTCTTTCAATTTTACTCGCGTTGTAAGCGACTTTATTTGCGAGTAGCGCATATTAAGTTTGACTTCATGTTTGGATTTGTAAGTGTCCAGAGCGAATGCAGATAGACTCTGAGATCAATTCAGTGACCGATATTGGGTAGAAACGTTAATTTGAAGATGTTGTTCGACAGCAATTTTAAGATCGAAAGATTTTTCATTAGATAATAAGAAAAACGCACACTTTATCGACAACTCACTGCTCGTTACAGCGAGCCGATAATCGACAACGAATCGTGTTTACTCGATATCCACAGCACAATTTAAACTTGACACTAAGGATTATATAACTATCGTCTCGGATCGACAAAGTTTATTATCCGAAACGGGTTAGATTGTTTGTGCGTCAGCCCGTCTTTATGTCCGCCCGAATTAAGAGGCGAGGAGAATTTCTTCTAGATCAAGTGTTTGTCTATTCCCAATAAGTAGGGGGAACTGTCAAGAGAAGTCAATACGAAAACTTCGATCTAATTTTTAGATGACTTCTCTATAATTAGACAAGCTAAGGGGACTAATAATGTTATCGCGTATTTGAGTATTTTACGAACTTTGTTCGAGAGTATCTCCCGCCACGTCTCGTTTTGTCGAAATCAAAAGTTTCGCTATGTTTGCTAATTATAGACGGTTGGCAAAGAGTGGTACCAGGCCGTGTTCATCAACGGAACGATCGTGCCAAACACGAAAGATGCAGCTAAGACTCAAGCAGAAACCTTTAGTTTTTACAAAGCTACAGCGGAAGCTTTCATTTTATTAACTAAGGCTTCAAAACAAAATCATGGCTTGAAGCCTTTATCTTTCACATTTAAGGTTTGATGAATGTTGATCGCGACTTGAAGAGACGATCAAATAGACAACCAACTCTTTATAGACACAGCACCTTATCGTCGTTAAGGATGTGAATAGTTTGTAGAATTTTTAATTTAATGAATCATAGTGACCTATATTTTGTGACCTATACATTGACCATTTACATCGATTAACATACAGTTGTTCGAGTATCAGTCTATTATCTCTTTCAGCTAGCATTGGGAGTAAAAAAGTCATGCAGACATTGAAAACGTGGTAAAATTTCACCCAAGAGAAGTTTGTTTTACTTTTTCTAGTCACTGTAGCCTTTCCAGTGTTAAGTATGTGGATTTGATTTAAAACCTTGCGATAAATTATCTAAACCCTAAACGCAATATCTCGTTTTCTTTATATTCTTCTTCTTCTTGTCGCGATTCAAACAACGGTTCAAGGCAGTTTGTTGTATTTTTGTATAGTTTTTCATTATCTCGCTTCTGATTACGAAATAAGTCAAAGCATTGTTTTCATTAACTAATTTGCATTTAAAATTTAATTTGATCGCAAGAGTTGTATAAAATACCTGAAGAAAAGTTTGAAAGCGAACAGTTTTTAGTATGGTGAGGCATTGCTGAGGGCAGCGCGTTAAGCATTTAATTTTCATATTCATTTCTAAAAGCCGAGCCTTCACCAAAAATATCACTTCCCAAAGGGGGGAATATGTTTATCGGAGATGTTAGAATGTACACATACGCAGTTACGCAAACATTAACCTGCAATTATTTTACAGAAAGTACATATGTATTACGTAACAAATAGAAAGACTATTGTCGGCCCTGGCCTACCGGCAAATACCTTGCCCCACCCTACAGTTGCTCATACAACGAGTCTCCAAAACCAGCTGTTGTAGGGGAATTAGTCGAAAAACTGATGTGATCCGAAGCAATTTTAATAGCGTCCGGCTTCAGTCACGCCAGTGTACCAAATTTCATCAATATATCTCAAAAATTGCGAGCTGTAAGCTAAACACAAGAAAGCAGGACGGACAGACAAGTGTTAGGAAATGACCCTTAATCGACCGGTGTGATAAGACGTAGATCCATGACAAACCATTCGGGTTTTTGTATACGTCCGCACAAACTTAATATAGACTTATACCACAAGTCGTGTAGGATATAAAGACTACAAGTATTTTATTCGAAGTATAGCCCATCGTTGTCTATTTATTTGTTCCACCTGCGGGGAAGTTTGTAGACACCAAGTATTCTGTCGTGAACTATTCGTCCATCGATTTGTTTTTCTCACAAGTGCTTTATCAGAAACACTTGATGTATGCACGTCGGGAGAGAGAAAAAGTGCATCCGCGTTGCTTTTTTTGAATACCGCACTGCTGAGATTAATTCTTGTTAACAGCGTTTGGTACTAGCCATTAATGGACCACATTCTTGCCGTCCTAACAAGCACAGGGCATTGTCCTCTCTTCATATCAATTTTATCCTGCGGTCAGTGGATGGATGGATGGTGGATGGTACTAATGGATCTACTTTTCCACTGGATCGTCTTTTTATACTCAATACGCAATAGGATCACAAAAAGGACTTTTCTTTGCACAAACTACTTGCCAAAAACATATTTGTGTTTAGACTTATTATAACTTTTTTTAAATCTTTCGGTCAAAAAGCATTAAGCAATGATTTATTCAAAGGTAAAACTTATCCTACATAGGTGGAGTTTTATCATTAATTCGCGCAGGATGGAAAAAGAGTGCAGCAAAGTTCAATGAAATTTGATTAATTAATTAATTTATTTGTTTACTAATTTTTGTTTTTTTTTTTTTTTTTTTTTGTTCAGTTCAGAGTTCTTTCAAAGGTTCATTCACATAGGTGTTCATTGACTAAATCTGTACTATTCTTCTTCGTAAGCTTAAGCGTTTATTTTATTATTATTATTATTATTAAAAAACAACAAATACCTGTAACTATAGATGAATATGTCATTATATTGGTGATGATGATGACGATGATGATATCTTGGAGCGTTTTGACTCTTGTTTTCAATGAAAAAAAAAAAAAAAAAAGAAAAAAGAAAAGCATTTCACTAGGATTTATGTCTTTGTGTGTCCATAAGTGGCTTAATTTAAAATAATTTGTTTGTGTCAATAAGAGATAAACACAAGAGACCGTTACCGATCTTACTACGAACGCGGAATCAAACTCGAACAAGAGTACAAGAATTTTCATAATATTAAAAACAATAACAACAAGAGAATATTTCTTTTGCAGATTTATCTTAAAAAGTGATGAGCGAAAAACAAAAACAAATTTTTATGAAAATACTAGAATAGAAGCATAAGCAAGTGCATTACTAGTCCATATATAATATACATATACGATAGTCTTAGTGTGTTTTCGGTAGATAAATAGAGCAAAAGGTAGGAAGAGAGAGAGAGAGAGAAAAAAAAAAGAAGTCGACAGGAGATGATCTGGGTGCTAACGAGATCTACAAACAGTATAAAATAATCGACATTACATTGGCGACTTGCTGTGCTTGCGGATCACAAATTGTTTTAAAGAAAAAAAAAAAAAGAAAAACAAAATTCAATAAAAATTTGTTTTTACGATAAGAAAATGGTTAAAACAAATAATCACGTGGGCCGAGTAGGCGCTGCATCAAATCATAATCAAACAGTCATAGATTTTGAGAAAGATGGTGCGGATGAAAAATTGCTTAAAAATGGTAATCTATCGAGTAATGGTTTAAAAAATGGCGAAAAATCTGAATACGATCGTACAATGACTGAGGATATCAACAAATTGTTACGAGAGATGCCTTTAACGGAAGACATGACTTGTGGATTTTGGATATTTAAAGGAAAATTCCTGCAAAGGTAAATCTTAGTGCTTAAGAAGAACTTGTCGATATCAAATAGGAAAAGGACTTTAGTAGAAAAAAACGGAAAGAAAAACTAAAAATTCTTCCTCCTGTGTAAGTTGTTCGAAAGAAGGACAAAACAAGAGCATTGAAGAACATTGTATTGAAACGAATCTTATCATGATTATTATTTTTTTCAATCCTTTGGAGAATGCCTCCTGCATATATAACACCGTAATGGTTAGAAAGACATAGGCGGCGGCCGTAACCCAGTCGGTGCGTTCCTCATCATTTAATGCTGGCTACGCACTCACAATAGTTGCGATCAAGTGCACTCTGCCGCAGTGAGATTTGAATTCGCGACGAAGAGACGTGAGTGTAGACGTGGGTGTAGATATCCTAAACTCTAACTTAACTAAGCCAATTTTTCTTTTTTGAGATAAAATGTTTCGAAAGACGAAATTTTAGAGATTCGCACCAATTCCCACTAACTCTCAGGCATTAGTTCTCTTAGGTAAATACGTTTGAAAGATCTTATTATGCATCCATATGAGTTTCACGAGTAGCGCAAAAACTGAAAAATCTCATGCGATATTTCTAGATGGTATTTTTCTAAGCAACTTCATGTTGTGCAGGGTACATTAAGGTTGCTCGGATGTATACATTATCCAGAAGGGCTTGATATAGATCCACTTTTTATTGTACCGATCGACTTGGAATCGCTTTCTGTATGCAAGCTTGTCTGTCCGTCTGTCCGTCATCTATTCCTTATGTTCACCCAACAAGTGTCAGTTTTGAGAAATATGATGAAATTTGGTACAGCGACCTGTTTTGTCGAAGGACGAGTAGATATAATTATTTCTGTCTGTATGTCCATCCGATGATCATCCATGCATTTTCGTTTCGAACGATGTTCAGGTCGCGATTTTTGAGATATTTTGATGAAATTTAATACAGCAACGTGTTTTGGCCTAATGACGAAGGGGATTAAAAATGATTCAGATCGGGCCACCTTTTCGACCAATTCTCATATAACCCCTTCCTTTGAAAAATCCTTACGGAGATAAATGTATTAAACAAAGTGACGTAGGGCATTTAATGGCGAGCCGTGGTTTGCGATAATTTTGTATCCGTACGTGTGCTTTATAATTTCAGGTTTGCAAATCAGACATCTTATGTTATTCTTTATGGTCTCGTTGGCTGCGTATTCTCAATGACTTATTCTTACTTCAATGGTACAATAACAACAATTGAGAAGAGATTTAAAATACCCTCTCGGAATACAGGCATCATATCCGTTGGCAACGATATCAGTCAAATGTTAGTGTCGGCAGTATTAAGTTATTACGCTGGAAAGGGTCATAGACCGAGGTGGATAGGATTTGGTAAGAGTTCGAACAACGAATTTCAATCACAAAGTTCTTTAAAAAGTCCTGATTATTACGGGTTTTTTTTTTCTTGAAGGATTATCAACCATTGTGATGTTTTGCTTACTAATGGCTGTACCTCACTTTCTATACGGTCCGGGTGAAGATGCCTTAGCCTTAACCGCGGAATTCGGTGCCATTGCCGATGAAAATGCTACTATAGAAGTTATTGAGGCTCAGCGTTCAAAGACTTTGTGCCGTTCTAGCGACGGTGGTGCGGAATGTGTTCAGGGGGAGGGTAATGTTGCTCCTCAGCTCGTATTATTTTTGGCGCAATTTATTTCAGGTATAGGCGGTTCGCTTTACTACACCTTGGGTGTAGCATATATGGATGATAATACAAAGAAGTCAAAAACTCCAGCTTTGTTAAGTGAGTAGTTAATCTTTTGTCAGCCTTCAATATTAACTAGAATAGGAATTTTCAGCCTCTCAATGTTATCAGAATTATTTGTAAACTTTACAATTACACGAGATTTACACTATTAATAAACCACTTTAATCGGCTTTAGCTTTTATGGCACTAACTAAAGAGATAAGAGATTCTATAGAAAAACTACTTACACGTAGGCTGCGTGCAAGTATAATATTGCAACTAATACACTAATACACCCACACAGAGACGAAAGATAATGTTTTGTATTTTTTTTTTTTTTTTAATGATTTTTCATTTATTTTAGGTTTATCGTACTTCCTACGCATGTTGGGCCCAGCAATAGGCTTGGCATTGGCCTCGTTTTGTTTAAGAGTCTACGTAGCGCCAAATTTGCATCCGGTCATTAAAATGAAAGATCCTCGCTGGCTGGGAGCATGGTGGATGGGTTGGCTTATAATCGGTAGCATGATTCTTGTATCGGGTATATTTCTGACCATGTTTCCTAAACAGCTACCACGTGCAAAGGCCAGACGCATGATTGAAGAAGAGCGTCGCAAGCAAAGGGAAACAATAAAGAATAAATCGCAAAACAACAAAGAGAAACTTACTAATTGCTTGGAGGAAGAGAAGCCCACAGAAGCTAAGGCTTCCTTCAAGGATATGTTGGTCACATTTAAACGCTTGACCACCAACAAAATCCTTATGTATAACAATTTCTCATCTGTCTTCTATCTATTCGGTTACACTCCGTATTGGATTTTTACACCCAAGTACATAGAGATCCAGTACCGCCAATCGGCTTCAATTTCAAAGTAAATTTTTCACGAAATGTTTTTGACGAAGTAAGTGCATTGAAATCACTTGATTTTCAGTTTGGTGACTGGCACCGTAGCCTTGGCTTTCTCTGCCACCGGGGTCTTGCTATCCGGTTTTGTGATCTCCCGTTATAGACCTAGGGCTCGTTATATGGCTGCTTGGAATGTTATTGTTGGCTTCTTAACAGTGGCCGGCTGTATATCTTACGCTTTCATTGGCTGTCCAGGGAATGAACAATCGGTTATTGTAAATATACACGATAGGTACAAATTGGAGGCGTAACTGATCTCTTTCAATGCTCAGTGTAATAATTTCATTTTCTTCTCTCTCATCTTAATAGCTCACTGAGCAATGCCACTACTTGCAATTCGGATTGCCATTGCGATTATGTTCGTTATTCTCCAGTGTGTGGAGAAAACAAAATGACTTATATTTCACCCTGTCATGCAGGTTGTAAAAAAGAACACATAGCCAGTACTGGACAAAAGGTAATCCTGATTGTTCCAAGCCAAAGGCTTATTCAACTATTAACTCCGGCTTCTTTAGTATTTCTACGACTGTAGCTGTATACCGCATGCTAGTATTAACAAAGAAGGAAAATCTACCTACGAGGGCTTAACATCAATGGACTTGACAATTACGGAAAACGATGAGCAAGATATTCAAACCACTACACTAGCTAGTCATTTGCAGTCATTAGATGCCGATGTAAGTATTTATCTTGAAATCAATAAATGAAACAAAGTGATCCATAGACGAAGACCGATTGTACATTACGACTTCACAAAGCGCTTGTATAGTACATGGTACAAGCCATGAATTGCTGCCTCTGTGTTTAGATAAGATTAGAACCGTTTTTGGTGTCTTCAAAAGACAAATATTTTTTCAATGTTTAATGCACGAAATGCCCGAAGAAGTGATGCGTACGCGGTGGTTGAAAAAATATAAATCGAATCTCAAATCTACAGAAATTTAATAGCCGGCACAGCTACAATGCTGCAAAGGTCCGCAGAACTAAAAGCCAAAAAAATGCATCGCTCGTCTCTGTTATCCTTAAAAACACAACGAATCGTAGTGAGTTTCGTCCCAGAGAAGTCTGCTTTGAAAGCATGTGACCATGTACAGAAAAGGAACACATCCCAGCAAACCTGCAAGTGAGAAAGCCTACTTGGAGGAGTATATATATGTAGAGTTGCAGTTCTTCAAAGGGAACATCAGTAAACCATATTAGTTTTTGTAAGCTCCAGCAAACTGTAATATTTACCCCATAAAAAAACCGAATAGACGACTCATAGTTCAAAGCTGCGTAGGTGCAGAGAACAAGTAGCAATTCGACAACCCCTCTTCACGTTTCGAATCTGAGTTGCCGTTTGTATTTTTCAATATCTGCCGACAATCGGCTTGGGAGCGACGGAACTTCTGATCGCTGCGTACGAACTTTACGGGAATATCGGGGTGGCTGTAGTTACCCTAAATCGAATATCACGGAGTCACTAACGAATTAGAGATGCAAGATCGCAGCGCTCGTATAAGCTGAGTTATGCAGGATTGCTTTGCATAAATCATTTATCGCATAGGTTGAATTCCGAAGGTCGTCTATGTCTAGGCAGAACGCATTTTCCCACTCCGTAAATCATCGCGTACCTTAGCCTTTATGGCAGGAATTCATCCTAGAAACGCGTGTCACCGAGCAGAGATAGGCTTCGCTTTGACCAGGACCACAGAAAGTTTGACCAAATATTTGGTACCTCAGAAAGTAAAAGGTCCTCATAACGATACAGGATTGTACTATGTGCATGAGGGCGCCAGCTAATGCTGTTTTGTTTATTTATTTTGGACTTACATCTAAATACAATTTTAAACATCGAACTGTTTCTGGTTATTTGCAGATACCAGGAATCGGTGGACGAGCTATTTCCGGGGCTTGTCCAGTTAATTGCTTTTCTCAATTTGTTACATTTTTGGTTGTCATGTGTTTCTTGAAATTTATTGGCGCCACAGGAAGAGCATCAAACTTTCTAGTTTCTGTACGTTGCGTTCCGGAAAAGGATAAAACGGCTGCAATGGGCTTCGGCATGATGATGATGTCAATGCTGGCTTTTATACCAAGTCCGATATTCTTTGGTTGGGTTTTAGATAGACTTTGCCTGGTATGGGGTAAAACGTGTACAAATAAAGGCAATTGTTGGCTCTACGATCCCGAATCTTTAAGGTAAATATTGAGAGTAAAATTTTCCCAGCTCCGTAAGTGTAGAAGGGAATGATGTGTTCTTTTGATTCAGATACACACTGAATATAACTGCCTCTATGTTTGTTGTACTTGGCGCGCTATTTGATTGTGGCGTGTGGTACTATGTCAAAGATTTGAAAATTTTCGACGAGGAAGTCAAAGAAATTGAAATGAAAATTGTACAACACGAAGAAGATATTAATGCCGAGAAGAAGACGGAAATTTAATGCAATTGAAAGTTAGTTTGTTTTAGATTTAAGTGTTACATATGTGATGTCATTAAATGTATGCATGAGTGTGTGTGATATTTTTGTATGTGTTAAATAGTGAAATATGTACAATGTCGTTGTTAGAGTTTTAAGTATTACCTAAGTATGTAGCGTTATGAACTTTTCATTTTTTCTTGAATTTTCTTTTAATATCTTTTTCTTTATTTTTTTTGTTTTTTATAAAAACCAAATATACGAAAATATGTGTTAATAAAAAGGAAGACTAAAGTTTTGTTCAAAACTATGATATAATTAACAGTAACAGGCAGTATTTGGTTATTCGTGTGCATACCTACGCATACGTGGCAGAGTGTAAAAGAGCAATTTTAGACACAAACCAAGCAAATTGTGATTGACGACTTTGCTAATACCGTTTTAATAATAATTGGTTTACATAACCGTCTCTCCTTCTTACTGAAACTTGCTCAACAACTTTTCTGCCCCTATTTAAGAATATTTCCTCGATTTTTATTTTAAAGTTTTATTCGAGACTAGAACCCTAACAACAATTAACTGACTGCATAGTAAAAGTTTTATAACAGTTTCTCCACACACACCAGACACACCAGAGAGTACGAAAAGCTTCTTTGCAAAATAAGAAAAGGAAGTAAATATTCAGCCATTCCCTGTTAAAAGCCAAGGCACAGAGTTGCTTGTAAAAAATAGTCAAAAAATGGCAGCTCTGCTAAATGGTTAAATGCCCAACTAACAGCTTAAATGGTAGCGTCATTCAGCTATGTTAAACAAAGGGCCAGCTCTGTTAACTGCTTTCTTTCATTCCGGTGGTGTGGGGTGTATAGAATATATAGAATGAAAGGCTCGGCGATTAAAGGGATGTTAATTAACATCGCTGCTACTGTTCTTGATAATAGAAACAACGAAAGTCCGTGAGACTCTGGTATATATATTTTTTTTTTTAGAAACTTCTTAGTTACTCTTATCATCGAACTCTCAAGGCGAATTTCAAAGCTGATATTTTTTTTTGAATAGATGTTGAAAGAGAAGAAAAATCACAATTCACTATCGTGTAGAAAAGTCTGAGCTTTCAGCAAAGCGCTTTTTTAGTTTCTCTTGTTTGTTCACAAATGCGTCTAAAATTATATCCATTAAATTCTGTACTTGCGACAAACTTTGGCATCTGCAGTTATAGTACACTGGCAATGGTATATACTATAAACCAAAGAGGTCGCTGCGTACTCTTTAAAAAGAAACGTTATGAAATAATCGGTTCTCTCCGAATAAGAGCAGAACAAGATTTTCTTATAATTGCAACGAGAATGCTGAATGATTACAACCTAGTATTCCAAGTTAGTGGAATTCTAATTGCAACTTGAAGCAATTCCGCTATAGCGAGCTTATTGTCAGAAACTATTAAGAGATGGTTACTATCGTCACTTACCAATTGGAGTCGACCTTCTAATTGGGATTTTAACTATTTTTTAAAATCCCAAAAAGAATCCAAATATTTAGGTACCATTTCCTGTAACAAACTTTTTCCAAAATTCAAATATTTTTTCATTTCTTCATTTCTTTTTTTTTTATATTCTACACCTCTTGTACGTATATAAAATTCGAATGGCTCTGTGCGACACCTAGAAAGACTTGAGATAGACCCAACTTTTATTATACCGCTCGATTCAGAATCACATTCGAAATCAATCTAAAAATGTCCGTCCGTCTGTGCGTCTTCTGTTCTTGTATTCCGCAATTTTTAAAATGATTTGATGGAAGTTTAGTGCACTGAGTTGTTGCGGCCTAAGGACGAACGCTATTGGAAATGGTTCACATCGCACTATTTCGACCACTCTGCATATAAAAACTTCCTTTGAAAAGTGGTGTAGAGTACCTAATGGTTGACTGCGTCCCGCTACAATGTTTTCATTTGTTTTTTTGATTAGGAGAAATTGTACTGACGAGTAAACCTAAAGTATCCAGCACGAAATATTGAACTCGAGTTGCTTAACACTCGCGGCGGACAACTTGCATATCAAGTGCGTGGTAGTAGTTAATAGTTTATATTCATTATATGGAAATATATGTTGGTTGAGACATAACTGGGTACAAAAGTCTCTATTTGTTTGCTTTGCAGTTTTTTTTTTATTTTTTTATTTTGCTCGTATATGAAGTAAGGTCGGGTAATAGAGCAAAAGATAAACGGACAGCAACTTCTACATTGAGATGAATACAAAACGAATATATGTGCACTTGTATGTACTCGTGAATACATTTTGTACACATGAATGAATGAACTTGTATGACATGGAAAACAAGCCAAACCGAACAACTATTGCAGCATGACATAGGAATATATATGCATGTGTGTGTGTGTGTGTGCAGGTGATGGTTTATAAATATGAACTATTCGTCTAATATGACCTCTGTTAAAGGATTTTTGTTGATGGCGATTCGAAAAACTAAATAAAATTAAGCGAGGAATGGTTTCGATAATAGAATCAATATACATATGAATGAAAGAGGTTAAGAACTCAAAACCTCCGCATATCTGGATTGCAAAGTGTACTGGCACATTCGATGCACAGTTGCCTTGGTTGGAAGATTTTCATAGAAGCGCCGTGTAACCTCATCAAGCCTGCCTCAAGTTTCCCTCTGTGCAGAAATCCCTTAAAGAAGGAAATCATCAAAGTGTTCTCTCCAAGTTTAATATACGTTAGAAGCTCATGCTCAGAGTTTATTCATCTCAGAACTTTCAAATCGGATGTGCGGTCTGCCCACGATATTTTTAGAATTCTACGGTAACATCACATTTCAAAGGCTGCCAGTCTGCTCGTGTTACTGGTTTTTAATGGCTTTGATTCTACACTATAGAATAGCTCCGACCTTATGAAGCATTTCCCGAGCGCAATGCGAACGAGTAAAAACATTTCCCGGGTTGCCGTCATTTTCCGATATTTCCTGCACGCTGATTTGGGCATTTCTATTCGTCTTTTCATTCCACTTCGCTGTTTCAGTCCCCGATATACTATCTTGGAAATCTTTTCCACCTTTTCGTAATTAATTGATAAAGCGGCACTTGGACTTCAAAAGCTTTTACTTTGATCGTTTACAGCTTGAAGTATCGTCTGCAGATCCTGTATATTATCTGCCTTAATACCTGCGTTGATCATTTGAATAGCGTCTTGAAACATGACGTTGAAAAGAAATGCACCCCTGGCGAACCCTTCTCTTTATAGTAATACAATTTGTTCTATCAACATTCCCACGGACCTCTGCTGTTTGCGTCCAATACAAATTTTTATCGCAGCTTGTATCTTTCCCGTCAATACTATTCAGGATGTCTACTAATGTTTCACTTAACATTTATAAAATAGCGCCACGAACTATTTCCTTGCAGCAATATTAACAGAAATACATTATAAAGTGATGGCATTCTTCAAATATCGTCAGTAAAGAAAATTTCTTATCCGCATGAGTGGGGTAAGAGGTACAAATCGCGTCTATCTAGTGAGCATTCATGGGTTCATGCCTCAAGCGGGGTAGAGTCTACTTTTATCACACCGTGGAAGGCACAGAAGTTATCGATCGCCTAAGCTGCGGCCAAAATCTACCTATCTCGTTCTCTTTCCTCGCATCTTTCTGGTCCGCACCGTTTTCTACAAATAGGTAGCATATCCTTAAGTGATCGGTCCATATTAGAGAACACATTGTAACATTGTGCTCCTAAAAATTTTCTGGAGAAAGTCCAAATGTATAGAGCATTGCATATATTGATCCGTTTTCCTTGATCATGCCACTTGTCCCTTTCAATATATGACATATGAGAATTGCTTTTATGAAACCGGAGACCATTTTAACACATAATGAAGAAGAATCTCGAAGGATATAACGAACGAAATTGTACCGACACGAACTGCATCCTTCCGCTACGTATCCTGACATAACTTTGTGAATATTATACGAAGTAAATAAGCAAAGGTGCGATGGCTTACACACGGGGCATGTATATGAATGCGTATATGAAGTAACAAATTAAAAATCGTTTTACACCATTTATGCAACAAATTAGTTTAAACTGTTAAATAATTGCATTTTAATTGAATTAACTTTCTCTTGATATATCGCGTAAACGTGTGCAACTACTACTGTTACACTAAATATTCACTCGGATAGCCAGGCTACGCTATCTGTCGCAATAACCAATTAAATAACAAGTAGGACATTGTTTACATGATGCATGCGCCGTGCCAGAGCTAATGTCAAAATATATATATATATATATATATGTATAACGAAAAGGTGTTAAATCTAATTGATGTTGATCGAGTTGTGCAGTACAAAACCGGTGGCGGCAATAACAACAAAAATAAACGATTAAATGTTTAAAAGTTTAAATAACCACAATAACAATACCGACAAAACCAACAAAAACACAAACAGCAATATTAACAATAACAACAACAATAGCAAGAACAACGAGCATTACAACGTTCGCCGAATGCCGACATTGTAATAGGCTTTAATTTCGTTACTATTGGTGGCCGTGTAGCCTACGGTTATAATGCAGATGAAACACATTTTAATTTATACGCGCGGAGAGAGCATGCAGTGGAAAATTTTCACTTTTTAACTTCAACACAAACTAACAGAGTGGAAAAATGTATAATACTCGCGTTATATAAATAAAGTAAATATCTACAAACCATTTATTTATTTGGGTTATATATAACATATAAACGAATCAACAACACACACCACGAACTGTAAACTTAGATACGAAAAAAAACAAACAAATTTTTTTTCCTCTCGTTTGACCTGCATGTACGCTATTATTATTGTTCACTTTTTGATTTGAAAAAGTTTCAAAACTGTTTCACACATTATCGCATTAAATCAAAGTTGTTGCCTACTGCCAATAAAGGATAATTGTTTAGGTCCTTTAAAACGCAAGAGTCCACACTCGATTGTCATTGATTATACCCATCATTGGGGGATAGGCGGTACATTCAGTTTGTCAAAACGTCTGCAACGCCTAGAAGGAAGCTTCAGAAACACCATAAAGTATATACATTCTTGATCAGTATTAAATTCTAAATCGATTTAAGCATGTCCGTCTATCCGTCTGTTCGTTTGTAAACATTCTTCTGATCGCAAAAGTAAAACTATCGCCTTGAAAGTTGGCAGAAACATTGGAAATTCTTCCACTTGCAGCTTGGTATTTAAAATGGGCGAAATCGG